TCTGACTTCGGCTCAGGTCATGATCTCAAGGTTCGTGGTTTAAGCCCTGCATCGGGCTCTGTGCTAACAGCTTGCTCAGAGTCTGGAGCCTGCTTCAGATTCTGTCTCCTTCTCCCTCTGCCCCTCCCCTGCTCACGCTCTGCCTCTGTCTCTCAAAAATAAACAAATGTTTAAAAAAAATTTTAAAGCTACTCAATGAATTAAGAAACTGAGATAAACTAGAAGATTCAAGCTGTTTTCCTTGGATCATAGGTACAGTAATTTAAAGCTAACCATACTTAAAACTAAACTTTAACTGATGAAGAAGACTTGAACAAAGGCTAGGTTGAGGCCTTCAGAATAACCATCATCTATGACAGAAACCTTTAAGATTGAATTACTACTAGGCTAGGGTTTATGGTGGTTTTCAACTTTGCAGTAAAGTTTATTTTAACTTCTCATTCTGCACTAATAAGCAAAAGAAGTAAGTGACTCGAAACAATTAGTCACTTGTACAGGGTGCCTCCTAGATTAATTTGCCAACCAGAGGAGTCTCAGAAATAAAGATATAAAAGAGAGGCATTAGAAAAGGCAGGACTTAGTGAAAAAAGTGTGTGATTTGGAGTCCGATTTGAAATGGAAGATGAACTCCATCACTACCAAGTTACATAACTTCCTTCTCTAAACCTCAATAAGAGTAAACAGAGACAATAATACAACACTGCAGGGCTGCTGGGGAAAAGACATGCAGGAAATAAAATGTCTGTAAAACACAAGCACATTCATAAAAGGAATTCTGATACGGGTAACTATCAATGTTTTAAAGCCACTGAAGTAACAAGTTGCCCTTTGCTGCACATTTCTAAAAACGTTACTTCTTTGACAATATTAAAGAAATTATGGTAATTCTTAAGTATCGGTTTGAATTGGGGTCAGCTGCAAGTGACAGAAAATGCCCCTTAGTGCCTTTATGTCTGCTTTAAAACAGTTAAGGGTCCTTTCGAAGGACAGTGATGTAATCTTTAGAACTGGCCCAGAAGCTGAAGCTGTCATATCCCCTCCTCTCTTTCACTTCCCATTACAAACAATGAAGCCCATTTGTACCACTCAAAAAAAGAAAACAAAAAAAAAGTTCAGGGTGGACACAGCAGCTCCCAGGATCATCAGAGCTGTTGCCATCAACGCGAATTCACTGCTTCCACCTCACGATGAAAGACAACAAGCACCAACACCAGCCATTAAAGAGAAATGACAAGAAAAGGATACAAGCTCCCCATAAGGACTTTTCCTCGACGCCACTCACAAGCCCCTTTTGTTCACATCCTATAAGCCAAAACCACTCACAGGGTCAACCACACACAGCAACAGACACTGCCTTAAAAAAAAAGATTGTGGTGATGGTTACACAATATCGTGAACGTAATCCTTAGTGTCACTGAATTGTACACTTGAAGTGGTTGGAACGGTAAACTACATGTTATGTATATTTACCACAATAAATAAAAGAGATTTAGAAAACACTGAATGTTAAGTAGAGACATGTGATACATAAAAAAGGACTCAAAGAATCCAGAGATATAAAAATATTATGGGTGAGATGAAAAAATACATTGGATGGTATTAACAGAAGACTAGAAATTGCAGAAGAAAAGACAACAGAACTTGAAGACATGACAACAGAAATTAGCCATAATGAAACCCACAGGAGTAGTAAAAAGACCAAAATAAGTGGGTATCAGTAAGCTGTGGGCCAACGCGAAGTAACTGATTACACACAAAACTGGAAGTCACCAGAGAGGGGAAAAGAAGAGGAAAAAACAAACAAAAAAAACCAAAAAAAACACATGTGAACCAATCAGGGCTAGAAATACTCTATAAGTGACAAAAACTAAAACTATACAGATCAAGAGGCTCAAACAAAGCCAAAAACAAGAAACATGAAGAAAACAAGGTACATCATGATCAAACTGATTAATACCAGTCAGAATAAAAAACTCTGAAAAAAAACAAACATTATAAACAAAAGAATAATGCAAGTCAGAAGACAGTGGAGCAATGGAGTCAAAGTACCAAAAGTAAAACAGGAACCATCAACCTAGAATACTATATACAGCAAAAATATATTTCAAAAATTAAGGTGTCATCAAATAAAAACGAAATTACAATTACTTGAAATGTGTGGGTGGTAGCAAAGGCAGTCTTTGCCTAGAGAAATTTATACTAAAAATGCAAGTTTTCATCTGAAAATCTAAATTCAACAATTTAGGCTTCCTGAGGAAAAACCTGAGAAAGAACAATTTAAGCCTACATGCAGAAGAAAAATAAATAGAAATGAGAAGAACCTTATACTTATTCGGATGCCTACTACAAAAAAAAAAAAAAAAACCCAAAAAACCAAAAACCAAAACAAAACCAAAACCCTTAAAATGCAAGTGTTGACAAGGATGTGGAGAGATGGGAATCCTTGTGCACTACTGATGGGAACGTGCAATGGTGCAGCCACTATGGAAAACAGTCCAGTAGTTACTCAAAAAATTAAAAATAGAATTATCATATGATCTAGCAATTCCACTTCTGGATATATTCTGAAAAGACCTGAAATTCTGTCTTACAGAATACAGTACACCTGTGTTCATAGCAACATCATTCACAACAGCCAAAAGGTGGGAGGTACCCACGTCCATCCACGAATAAATGGATAAACAAAATTGGTATACATACAATGAAGTATTATCCAGGCTTGAAAAAGAAGGAAATTCTAGCATATGCTACACATGGATGAATGAACCTTGAGGGTGTTATCCTAAGGGAAATAAGCCTTTTGACAAATACATTAAGACAAATACTACACACTTCTACTTATGTAAGATACTAGAGTAGTCAAATCCATATAGAGACCAAGAGTAGAAGGCTGGTTGCCAGGGGCAGCGGGAGGAAGGAATGAAGAGTTGTTTTTTAATGGGTATGAAGTTTTGTTTTAAGATTTTATTTTTAAATACTCTCTACACTCAACTTGGGGCTCAAACCCCAAGATCAAGAGTTGCATGCTCCGCTGAAAGATCAGCAAACAGAATCTACACTAACAAATACTAATGGCCTTTAAAGATACTGTAATTCCTTAATCATCACCAACCTCTCCCTAACTCTGCTATCCAAACATAAATAACAGACAGACCACTTCTTTCATCTCCTTTACTTTAAACGACATGGTTACTAATTTCCAGCCAGACCTAGAAGAGAAAAAAGGAGGATGTCACAATTTAAATACACCACTGAGAGCAAACCAGTCTGAGAGGAAGAGTAACAGCAGCTCTCCTTATAGTAATCCTTTTCAATAATATGGGAGATATGGTGCCCATCACCAGTGGGGGGGGGGGGGGGGGGGGGGGGGGGGGGGGGGGGGGGGGGGGGGGGGGGAAGCATGCCAAGAAGGGAAAACTAGACACATGCAAGTCTAGGATTCAGATTGCAGGTCCATTAGCGTAATCTGCAGAATTCCACACACATCCATCTTCAAAATATTCCACACAAGCCCTTGAAAGGCTTACAAATAAGAAGTGATCATTGGATAATGTACTGTTCTTGAATTATCCATCACAGCGTAGACCCTCCAGTGAGGGTAGACCATACAGAACTAATTATTCTCAGGGCTCCTGGGTGGCTCAGTCAGTTAAGCGTCTGACTTCGGCTCAGGTCATGATCTCATGGTTTGAGGGTTCTACCCCCACATCAGGCTCTGTACTGACAGCTCAGAGCCTAGAGCCTGCTTCGGATCTGTGTTTCCTCTCTCTCTGCCCCTCTACCACTCACAAGCTCGCGCTCTCTCTCTCTCTCTCTCTCTCTCTCTCACACACACACACACAAATAAACATTAAAAAAAACCCTAATTATTCTCTCCACTTGGAGACATTAAAAAAACTAATTAATTAAAAACCGTAAAAAACCCACAACTTACTTTTGGAGAGGTTCAACCTGAACCTAAGAAGATATGGGGGAGAATAAATTGAACAATCACTGATTTAAAAAAATACTCTACAATCTGAAATCCTCTTAATGTTAGAACATTTTATATTAATTACTTTTCTAAAATAACCATCCAGGGGCGCCTGGGGGGCTCAGTCGGTTAAGCGTCCGACTTCGGCTCAGCTCATGATCTCACGGTTCATGGGTTCGAGCCCCAGGTCGGGCTCTGTGCTAACAGCTCAAAGCCTGGAGCCTGCTTTAGATTCTGTTTCCCTCTCTCTCTGACCCTCCCCTGCTCACGCTGTCTCTCTCTCTCTCTCAGAAATAAATAAAACATTAAAAAATTTTTTTAATTAAAAAAATAAAATAACCATCCAGCTTGTCCAAAAATAATAGCTACCAATTTCTTATACAGAGTTTCAAGTTTGTACCGTGGAAAATAGGCATAATAATGAGGAAAGAATACTACCTTAGCACTCTAACGGCACAGATCTTTCCATAGCTCTGCCATTTATTAGCTGAAGTCCTTTGAGGAAATTATTTAGCCTCTCCAAACCTCAGTGTGCTCATTCAGGAAAATAGGAAGAATAATATCTGCCCTATATATTTCACAGATTGTTACATCAAATGAGACAACACACAGAAATGTTAAGACATTAAATCTTTTCACTACAGAATAAATAAAACCTTACTCGAAGAACTGGTGAGATCATACTGATCAATATATGCTACTCTGACTTTCTGACTTCAATATGACTTTAACACAGAAAGGTAACATATTTTTCATTGGATTTGCAAAAAATGGGCAAGTAACTGTTTTACTTAGAAAGCCATAATATTTTTTAAATGTTTGAAACTAAGCATTTCTAAAGAAAGAATATTTTTAAAGAAAATGTCATTCTGATGTGACTAGAGAATGAAACAGAAATCTAACAAATTAATAAGTACTTCAGGACAGTGCCAGGAACACAGTAAGAACTACAGGCCCTTTTTGTTTTTTACTTCCAGTACAGCTCACATACAGCGTTCTATTAGTGTCAGGTGTACACTACAGCAATAACAGTACGGAGTGCTTCACGAATCTGCATGTCACCCTTGCGCGGGGGCCACGTTAACCATCTCTGTACTGTTCCCACGTTAGCGTCCGTGCCACCGGAGCCAGCAAGAGAGCCACACGTCCTCCTAACAGTACCGTCAGGAGTGCCATTCGCATAACCCAACTGATAGAACATAAAAGACCCTGTATTCCATATGCTAAGTTTCAAGTACCTACCATTAAGAATTTAAAATATCTTCTATATTTTAAAGAAAATTTTAGTACAGCACTTATATTACCATTTTCCATTAGCCATATTTTATATGCACTTCTCGTAACAGAAATCTCACAAGAAGCATGAGTTCACACTGGCAATCCCCACTAGGAACACTCTATAAGGGAATCCTCTTTCTGATTTCTATAAACCAACCATCCATTATAATTAAATATATAACTAGGTCAGTTTCTTTTAAAATATCACTGTAAATACATATTTGTCTTCTCCATCCAAAATCTGAACTCAAACCAAACTAAGTACAATGAGGCAGAAATATTTCCACATACTGCATATTAGTAATATTTGGGGAGTTAGCATTTTCATTCTAAGCAGAAAGATCTATGTGTAAAAAAAAAAAAAAACTTAGAAATGGGAAGAAAGCAGCTTTAAATCAAGTTATTTAATATGAGTAAAATTTGGGAGGAAGAAGAGAGGTTGCAAGAGATAGGGTTGGAAAAGTCAACTCAGGTTATTAACAAATCTTGAAGAAATTATTAGCATTTTGAACTTTTCCCTGAATAAATGGGAAATTAGTTATTTAAGTACTCTGAATTTTGGAATAATATGATTTGATCTGCATCTTATAAGTAGTTTGGTGGGAAGAGTAGAGAATGGATAGAAAGCTGGGAAAGAATAACAGGGAAGAGAATATCCTAACAACTGAAGAAAACTATGACGAGCACTTGAAGTGGGAAAGTAGCAGTCAGATGGGAGAGAAGTGAATCCTATGTTGGAGACAACACTCACAGGATCTAGTGACTGACTGAATGCGAAGTCAAGGATGAATTACCCAAATAGCCAGATTTCTGGCTTCATCCAAGCTAGACCACAGGAAACGAAGGAGATCTGAGAGCAAAGGGGCAAAAATAATATCATAGAGATGTTGACCTCTAAGTATATCTGGGATAGCCAAGAGGAGATGCCTAGTAGGTAGCTAGCTGATGTATGAGCCGAAAGCACAGAGGAAGCTTTCAGATGGAAAAATAGAAATTATCAACATATAAATGATAAAGTCCCCAAAACAGACACAAGCTTAAGGAGAAGGCAAAGAATGAGTAAAAAGAAAATAATAAGCTGCCATTTAGCAGAGAAGAGAGAGCAAAGCCTGAAAGAAACAGCTAGAGGTGCTCCAAGCACTATCATAAAAGCCAAGAGAAGAGGGCAATTTGAGAAGTATCAAGTACTTCTGAATATCTGATAAAATGATAGTTTTAGCAGCAAGGAAATCAGTACGATCTTGCAGTGAGCAGTGTTAGTGACGGGAGAGGATGGGAGGGAGATTATAGTGGACCAAGGAGTGAACAGAAAGTGAGACAGAAGAGTCTGTTTTGCTGATGACGGGAAGGGGCAAAAGGTAGGCAGAATTCAGATTTCTTTCCAGGGATCGTTTGTTTTTTTGTTTTAGGTGAAACATTTGAACACAGTTAGCCAAATGAAAAAGAATCCAAATTAAAAGAAAGATGAAAGACAAACAGAATTAAGCAATGAAAGGAGAAAATGAGATCCAAAGCACAGCTGGAGAATCAGCCTGAGACAGAATGATGGACACTCATCCACTGTAAGAGAAGGAAAAGGAAGCACAAATGGTACAGAGCAGATAAACTCGTGAGTCAAGTAACAGGAAATTTAAGGGATCTCCTTTGATGGCTTCTATTTTCTCATGAAGTGAGAAGACCATCTGCGGAGCACACTTTGTTCAAAGAAAGAAGAGGGCGCTTAAAACAGCCCCTAAGGAGAATGGGACAGAAGTGCTCTGCCACCTGGCAGCTCGTACAAGAAACAGAGACCATGGATTCACAGAACCACTAGTCTGGGCAGGAATTTTTTTTCAATCTGGGTAACGTTTTTCTCCATCAGAGCTCAACGAACACCTTTCACACAGGCCAGAGAAACAAACGAATCCAAAGTCTAGGTGCAGATGCATATGACAGAAATTCAACAGGGCAAGGAAACCGAATTCTGGCAAGAGGTCTGAAGTGACGGACAACAGATCCTTACCTGCGTTATAAAGGAACCGTTCTGTGGAGAGGGGTGGCAAGGAACCGCAGATCTCAAATGCATCAATGAATCGGTTTAATAAAAGGATAGGAGCTCAGGAGCAGAATGTTTAAATTAATGATCTCAAAGATAAAACTGATTTCAAGTAATGGTAAGGTCCAGAGTAGCTTCATGAGAGTAAGTAAATGAGTTAAGGGAAGATCACCACTAGAGATGAGAAGACCGGGAAGCCAGGGTCCTGGGTACCCTATTCACATAAACACTGATTCACCTAGAATGGTGGCACAATCCTGCCCAGAAAGGAAGACTGAGTCAGAAGTCTGTGTCTTCAATGGGCGAGCCGAGACGTACACCCCAACTACACGAGACTCAATAATGGGAATTTTAACAAGAAGGTATCACAGGCGCCGCAGTACCAGGTAAGAAGGACACCACCTCCCGTCCTCTCCACACTGGGATCTGTAAAGAATAAAAGGTACAAGTTCCACTAGAGAGGACTTGCCCTTAAGAAAAAGATAGGTGTTATTACTTAAACAAAGATAAAAGTAACATTCAGCAAAGAATTTGAAGAAGTGATTACGTTTAACTTCAGAACAGGATGAGAAATATACTGAACGAGGGTGAGAAATATTGAAAGTATCTGAAAAAAGGAAGGGAAGAACAGGTGAGGGAACAAGAGTGAGAAGCCAAGTGTATGAGGACTTTTATCCTGGGCAGGAAAAGGCTCTAATAAAATGGGATTTGGTGGGATCATTTCCCGGGAAAGCGGCTAGGACAGGTTTCAGGAATTCTCTAAAAGAAAAGGCATGAGGCCTCTCAGGAGTCAACCAGTGCTTACAATTAGAAACGTCTATGTCGATTGGGTCATAAGACTCACAGCTCTTTGGAAGGAGCCAAATGAAGTCTGGATAAATTGTATTGGTTTAAGACTACGAGCTAAGACTATCAGGCAAAAGCCCCACTGGTTAGGCTTAATCTATAGGAACTGAGAAAAGCTCGCCATCTATCTTAGTAGAAATCAGTATTTCTCCTTGACCATAAGTAACCCCGTTTGGAGCTGTACTAGGTTTCACAACACCTAGTGGGGTAAGATAAAGAAATAAAAATATCTCATTAACCAGAGAAGACATTAGACTTAGACTTCAGACTTAATTCCTCATTTGTAAAACAAAGGGGTATCCTAGAACCATTACATTAAGAGCCAATCCTCCCTGCTCCTGCAAAAAAGAAGGCAGCAAACCTTTAGACTCCCAGTTGGGAATCAGACTAGCCATTTAATAAAAATTCCTAAACAAATACTAAATGCTATACATAGGCTCTGTGCTAGACACTGGGCAGAGACATAAAGATGAATACTACATAACTATGAGGTAATGAATGTCAACTTATAGTGGTAATGTGCATTGCACTTTGCAATATATTTAAGAACCGCCATTACATTGTATACCTTAAACTTATGCAGTGCTGTATGTCAATTATTATCTCAATTAAACTAAGAGGGGAAAAAAAGAAATTACCTTTAAAATATTTATACCCCGTTACCTAAAAACTAGGTTATAGTTCCCAAATCTCCAATAAACTGAGATATAAAATATAGAAAAATTATGAATGCTACATGGTCACAACCTTACAAGAGCTCATGGTCTGGTACATGACAGGTAAATAATCATAATACATGATGATTCTAATAACTTACAACAGAGAGTAAGAGATGAGAAAGAAAGTCATTGCCTGGAGTTAGAGAAAGGGAGAAGTAAGAATTAGAGAAGACCTCACAGAGAAAATATATTTGAGATGGGTCTTTAAAAAGAATTAAAACTATGATTAATAAGTGCTCAATCTCATTAGTAATCAAATACTGAAAAGCATATAAAAAAAAAAAGGAGCTACTGGGTTTTTTTCACCTATGAGACTGCCAAATAATGCAAAAGGTTGATGATATTTACCTAGCAAAGACATGGGAATATGTGTATTACTATTGGGAGAGTTCAATTTACCTCTAAAAAAGGTAACTAAGATTATTTTGAAATTTTAAATGTGCACATGCTCTAACAATTCCATTTCTGGATATGCACAAAAAATACTTAGTGATGTTCACTGCAGCAATGTTTACAATAGAAGAAAACAATCTAAATGTCTATCAATACTGAAATAGTAAAATAATTATGGCAAATCCAGGGGCACCTGGGTGGCTCAGTCAGTTAAGCGTCCAACTCTTGATTTCAGCCCACGTCATGATCTCATGATTCCATGAAAGTGCTCTCTCTAAATAAATAAACTTAAAAAATTTTAATAAAGCTTTAAGAATTAAGGCAAATTCATACAATGGAATACTCCTTAAAAGAACTGGGTGAATTATAGGTTCTGATTGGATGGCCTCCAAATAAATGAAAAAAGCAATACAACACAATAGATATGATATAGTTGCATTTCAGTTAGCAAAAGAACCCTGTAAGTATTCATGTTTTTTATATGAAGGGAAAAAAAGGAAAATGATACACCATTCTACTGTTTTAGGCACAAGTAATGTGACACACTGATGTGTTCTAAAGTAGTTGTTTCAGGGGCACCTGGGTGGCTCAGTCAGTTAAGCAATCGACTTCAGCTCAGGTCATGACCCTACGATTTGTGGGTTCGAGCCCTGCATCAAGGTCTGTGCCGACAGCTCGGAGCCTGGATCCTGCTAGGGATTCTGTGTCTCCCTCTATCTCTGTTCCTCCCCTGCTTGCTCTCTCTCTCTCTCTCTCTCTCTCTCTCTAAAATAAATAAAGATTAAAAAAATTAATCTGCTTGCTAAGCTCACTCTTGTCACTTAAAGTAGGCCAAACATTGCTAAATTCAAGCCACAGATAAA